AGACTTAAAACCAGAACACAATAGGGAGTAAGCCTTTGTTTATATTTCAATTCCACTACTCAAAACAAAGGAATTTGAGTAGCGATGGGTAGAGGGATGTGTCCAGAGATAGCTGGTGCCAAAGACTGTCATGTTACATCCTATGATTCATCCCAGGAGCCCTGCTGCTGTGATGGCTTATGCGTTTCGAAACCACCAGCCACTGTGCACGCGACAGATGAGGCTTTCTGCTCCCATGGGGAGCTACCTTCTCAGAAATGCCAAGGCAGGGTTCTACTCTGTCCTATAGGGTGGCTATGTGTCGAATTCGACTCAATGCCTGTGAGTTTACTGGATTTTATTATTCATTCAGTAATGTTATTGTCTGTGTTACTACTGGCATTTTTGTTTGTTTTAGATTTGTTTTTGTAGTGAAGGACAAACAAAAAGTACTTACCGTATTTGAGTTTTAAATCATTTTATGACTTTACAAGTTATAAAAGAAAAGAGCTAGCATTAAAATTAGGGGCCAGAACCATAATTTAAATAGGTATGCCTTAAAGTAAATCTGAAGTGAAACTTGAAAGTATTCATGTATTCGATGCTGCGTGAAATATGGCAGTCACGAAAGGACGAATACTGTCTGCTCCTACTTACATGAGCCTGGCAAACATGTAAAGCGGTTATCAGGGACAGGAGGGAGGACTGGAAGGGCAGGCTTCTGTGTGGGACATTGAAGGTCTGTCAATGGTGGTTGGGTAAGTTGGAGACACAGTGTGGTGATGGTTACGCATGTGGAGGTGGCTGCAATCTGTTTACATGGCACTGAATTGTGTATGTAAAAATATGTGGAGTTAGGAAATAGTTTCATTGTTTATATTTTTACTGTATATTTTTAAAAACAAGAAAAAAGTATCTGTATTAATTTATGCCGCCTGCTGGGCCATGTGTGAGAAGCATTAGACTTAAGGCACCTATGGTCTTCAAAGAGAAGGAGATGACAATGGTTTATATTTGGGTTTGTGATCATGGGAAGTGCCGTGGATAGCTAACTTCAAGGTCAACAGCTTGAGCCAACCAGTTGCCCAAGGAGAACAATGAGCCTGTCTGCTCCTGTCAAGGTCGAGAGTCTCAAAAACCCTAGGAAGCCATTCTCAAGTCATTGTGAGTCAGAATCCACTTGATGGCGGTGGGTCTGGCCTGTTCTTTTGATGGTCAAGTCCAAGACTTACTTGATGGCTTTGGAAACAATGGCTTCTCGCTGCTGGCCGAGTTCCTTAGCGGGAGAAAGAGCTTCATCTGCCGTAAAGATTTGCGGTCTTGGAAACCCGGGTCACTGTGAGTCAGACCTGACTCCATGGCCGTGACTGGTGCTGACTCAAACCCGCTACTGTGGACTTCGAGGCTGATTAAAAGGTGCTTGAGCTACTCACAAGGAGGATCCTGGGAACTTTCTCTGCTTCACCTTCCTGTTGGCAAGCCATGTGGCTGAG